CATCCTTGGATTCAAACCCTTCTTTATTGCAGTGGCTGGACCATCCCCTTTTCTGAAGTGAGGATTTTCCAGGGATGTTCTGCTCTGGATAAATTAAAGTGGTGTGGACTGCACATGGAGCAGTGCCACACCTCTGACTGCTCTGATGCTCTGTGTCCAGGTGGGCACCTTGGGGTGTGAATCTTTCTCCACACATTTCCCAGACTGTTTTGGGACTCCTCTGAGGGCAGAAGTGTTCTCTGTGTTGCTGCAGGTGAAGGACTGACTGCTTAAGCAGGCAGGGAAATATGTTCACTGGATGTAAAGGCTGGCAATTAGCAGCCAGTGCTAATCAGCAAAGGAATCTGAGGTGCCCTTTCTCTTCATAGCCAACTGACTTTTGTTTGCCTTGGGCAGCACCTTTAGATATTGCCTTTCAACAATGTTATCTATTAGACTTCTAGAGCAGATATAAAGAAGGCATTTCTACAGGTTGCCCAGAGCAGCTGTGGCTGCCTCGTCTTTGGAAATGTCCAAGGATGAGTTGGATGGGGTTTGGAGCAACCTGGGGTCATGGAAGGTGTCCCCGTTCATGGCCTTTTCTAGAGGGCCTTTAAAGGTCCTTCCCAAGCCTAGCTTTTCTATGATTCCATGCTGTTTCTCATGTGTTGCAAAAGCACCAGTGAGCCTCTCTTAGTTTTGCTGGCTGGGGACATCACCCATCTCTTACTGTGCATGGTCTTGAGGGGCATTGCTCTTAAGCTGGCAAACACCTGCAGAAATATGTGTTACCCACCTCCAAAGCACCTCTGCAGCTGCTGGTGCCTCTTGCATTGAAGAAACTGTTCTGGATATTGTTGTGGTGAACTTCTGCTCCTTTGTGGTTTTGTTTGCCTTGCTGATGCCTGGGGGCTGTAGCCCAGATCGTGGTGTGGTTTTCCAGCCTGAGCATCATGTGAGCTGTGAGCCACGGGGAGAGGAGCCCTTGAGGTACTTTGTGCACACATAAAAAGCTGTGGTGGCAGCCCTGAGGTGCACAGGAGCCCTCCCAGTCCCAGGAGGAGATGGGGCAGCACTGCCATGCTGCAGCAGAAGCAGTATTCACCCATAGATACTTCATTTTATCCAGGTTCCTTTCAATAGTAATTTTCTACTGCAAAATTGAATGTATTTTAAGCAGCCGTGTTGCACACTGTGCCTGCATGGTGGCCAAACATTTCAGTGTCTTTTATTCCACACTGAACACAAACACCTCCTGCCTGGCTTTAACCATTTCTGCTGCCCGAGCATCCTGTATGCTGCCAGCTGCTCTGTGGGGTTCATCCATCTTCCCCTGCTGGCACCAGCAGTTGGTTAACTTGTACACTGGAAAGGCTCTGCAGCCTTTATTCCTGAAAGCTTTTATTCCTGAAGGTGGAAAATAAATGTCTGAACATGCACTATCCACCAAAACCCCAGAAGAGACACATTACTGCAAATGCAGGAGGTCGAGTGGCCTGCTGAGAGCAGCTTTCTTTTCATTTTGTGTTATTGATATAATCCAAAAGTTTTTTGGTGCCATGGAGAGCTCACCTGGCCCATTTCATATTGCAGCACATTAGCCATCAGGGCAAATTCTTGGGAAACTCTGGAAAAATGGGACCTGGCAGAGTGGCTGCAGCAGCAGTAAATTGTCTTGGCCATAGTTTTGTCACTAGGCTCAGTGTCTTTTGGCAAATGTCTGTTTTAAAGGAGGCAAGCCAGAGAGAGGCATAAAGCACTAAGAATGTCACTTAAAGGCATTGTTGTGATGAGATCTGAAGCCCAGGGGAACTGTGGGTCTGGGTTGTTCCTTAGCTGAGCTCTCGGGTGGGCTGGTCTCTGCCTTCCCAGCCTGGCCCACCCCAATAGCTGATAATAGAGAAGTTATGAAAGATGTCAAAATTGGTGACAATAACTCATAATTGTGCACCTTAAAGAGAAAAAAAATGAGTTACCAAATACTACCTTGCAGCAGTGCTGTCTGGATGCCAGGTAATGCATCTTTTGAGATGTTGGCCTCATTTAGCTGAAGACTCACTCCCAGATTGGTGGCACTTTTGTCTTATGGCTTCAAGAGAAAAGTGGCAGGGAAATGTTATCTGAGATGTGCCACTTGGGCCATACCTGTCATGCAGAGCAGGGTGGGAAACAATAATTCTGAAGTAACTTTGAGGCAAGTGTATCTCTAAGCCAAGACAGCTTTGCATTTGCAGAGCTCCTTCTGCAGGGATTTTGGTTGCCACCTCTCCCTTCTGCTTCTCCCTCTCCTCTGACCAAGGACAGCCTGTTCATCCACCCTTGCAGCCCATGCCAGAGCCTCTCTGTGCCCCTTTCTTGGCAGCTGACAGGAATTTTGTCTGTTGGGTCCTGCAGTGATGGCCAGTGTGGGATTGCACGGATGGAACTCAGTCCATGAGTCCGAAACCATGGATCCACTGAGGCTGGAAAAGGCCTCTGAGATCAGGTCCAGCTGTCAGCCAGCACCACCAGCATGTTCACCTTAACCATGTCCCCAAGTGCCACATCCACACTTTGTTTGAACACTTCCAGGCAGGGGCACTCCATCACTTCCCAGCAGCTGCCTGTGCTGGGGCTTGGCAGCCCCTTCCAGGAAGAAATTCCTCCAGATATCCAATCTAAGCCTTCCCTGGCACAGTTTGAGGCTGTTTCTCTCCTCCTTCCACTTGTTCCCTGGAGGGAGAGATAGCAGCCCACCTCCCTGAAGGCGATCACAGCATGGAGGAGCATCAATCAGAGTTCAGTCAGGACAGCCATCAGCTGTCCCAGGAGCTGCTGCTGTGGGTTCACGCAATCCCCTTCTGGGGCTGGTGCTGAGTTTCCCTTCCCCTCTGTGGAGCTGGCACTGCTTTTCCTCTGCTGGCTGCCCCGTGCTGCCAGGAGAGGTCTGCTGCACACCTGTGTGAGTCCAAAGGTGTGAGACTGGCACGTTGGCAGCCCCGTGCCTGGATGCTGCCAGCTGGCTGTGGCAGAGCCTCGGTGGCTCTGCCAAGGCCTCAGTGGTGGCTCTGCCAAGGCCTGCTGAGGGCACGGCGCCGTGACTTAGCAGGAGCAGGCTGTCCCCACCCGGGTGAGTCACCGGGATCAGCACTCTGGGATGCTGGCTCTGGCTCTCAGGAGGGTGTGCCCCACTCACAGCCCGTGTTTCTGCCCTGCTGCCTGGCTGCTGGGGTGCTTGGAGGCCCCTCTTGCCTTCCCCTTGGTTGGTACCCAGGAGAACTAGCTGGCTAGGGGATGGATTAAGATGCACTTTGAGAATTGGTGTCTGAAAAATGGAGAGAGCTGGAAATTATCTTGTCAGTCCGCAGCCGCTGAAAGTGCCTCAAAGTCATGGCTGCACCAAAATGCTACACGTGACTTGGCTGAGGTTTTTTTCTCAAACCAATTATCCTGAGCCTTGAAGGAATTAAGATGTTTGTGCCTGACAGTGAAGTAATGGTGTTGTGCGTCTTTTGTACTTTGGAGCTACAAAAGTGGGGTATGGCAATCATTTAGCCTCTGTCCTCATCTGGTATAAACTTGAACTGAGTATCTTAAACTGAAATGTGTTTTGATGGTGTTTCCTGATGTCAAGAGAACTGCAAGGTATAAATTTATTGTTGCACTTGTGCATGGGATTTTCTGTGCCTGCTTTCAGCTGTGATTCATGGAAGCCAGGGCAGAGTCTGGGAAGCTCAAGTTGATCTTACTTAAAAACACACTCAATTATGTCCTTACAGCTTACCCAAGAGCTCGGGTATTTTGGGAGCTTATAGCAAATCCTGCAGTGAAAACTCTGCCCTTCCCAAAGTCTGCAGCAAAATTGCAGAGTTGCTGGGTTTGCTGTGTGCTGATGATGCCCTCGGGTGTGAATCCCACTGCAGCAGAGGAGCTTGGCCCTGCAGACAGCAAACCTTTTCCTGGAGAGATGTAGGTCTGAAAATGAGCTCCTCTTACTGCCTTGGCCCTTTCTTTGCCTTGCAGTTCAAGCATGTTAAACAGATTAATTATTGGGAGGTAACTGGTGGGTACCACGCTGGGAAGGACTGGCTATTTCATGGCGACTTCTGCAACAGCTTTTGTGTGAATGATTAATTTTGCAAGTGGAAAAAGGCATTTGGAAGAGTTTGTGCTCTGTGCAAAGCTCAAGAGCTGCATGAGATAGTGCAGCCCCAGCTTCTCTGTGCAAAGTCCCGTGCCCTGGAGGTATCTGGTGAAGTAGCTCTGCACTCCAGCGACCTCACAGTGCCACAGGGTTTGGGGATGAGTCACAGGTGGGAGTCTGATGTCAGACTTGCTTTGTAATGTGGTTGTCAAAGTTTCAACCAAATCTTGGGAGTTGTGTGAAAATACTGATACTCATATAAGTGCACAGGGAATCAAGTGACTTCTTCTGTGTCCCGATTTTAGGATGCTTGATTTTACAACTTCAGTGTTTTTAATGTGTTTTGAATGTAGAAGAATCTTTCTGAGTAACTGTGTTTTAAAAGCAATTTTCATGAGTTGACTGTGTTTTAATGAGCAAAGTCTCAAATGCTTGAGTGAAGGAGCTGGGAGGGAAAATTAAATATTCAGTACTATGAGCTGAAACTCAGCCAATGCCTGTTAATAGTTCTCCAGACAGATGCCCAGCAGCAGAGGTTGGGTGTTGTGTGAGAAACGGGCTCCCCAGAGACCCAGGATGAGGGAGGCAGCAGTGCTTCATGCAGGGCCTCAGTTCCCACTGCCTCTGCAAGCCTTTGGGGATGTCCTGGAGATGTCCAGTGTCTGGGGGTGTCCTGGAGATGTCCAGTGTCCTCCATGTGTTCTCTGGGAAGTGTCACAGCTGTGTATTACTCACTGTTCCTTTCCTAGTCCAGGAGAAACCCAGTGCCTGTAACGTGGGTGGCCACAGAGCACGGGACCAGCGGCGCAGGATGAGGGTGCAAACAGCAAACAGGAAAATGGATTAACTCAGAGGAGCTTATCTTTCATTGACTCTGCTGCTCTGGCTCCCCCCCCAGGGATGAGAAGAACCAGTCCATCATTGTCAGCGGGGAGTCGGGGGCGGGCAAGACGGTCTCTGCCAAATACGCCATGCGCTTCTTCGCCACCGTCGGGGGCTCCGCCAGCGAGACCAACATCGAAGCCAAAGTCCTGGCCTCCAGCCCCATCATGGAGGTAAAAGCTGCTCCCTTTCCTTTGTCCTGATCACTCTGTCTCGCCCTAAGTCACAAGGATAGTGACAAACCTGGGGGTTTACAGCATAACAGCTGTAAATCAGCTGGAGCTGGGCTGAAGGGCAGAGAGGCACCAACAGCCTCCATTTAGACCACCCCAATTGCACCTGCATTTGATGGTCTTAAAGCTGAGCCTGAGTATCCCCACCACATGTCCAGGAGCTGGGCATTGATGGGACTCCAGAGTGGAGAGCTCAAGAATGCAGCTGGCACTGTTTTATCATTTTCCTCCTTTGTTACTCCATGGTGTGCCCTAATCTCCTTCTTTTGTTGTACAGACATGGAATATAGAGGGAGGGATTAATCTGAGATGTTTAAATTAAATTTTTTTTGTTAGTTTGCTGTTGCTATCAATCATGTACCGGCCTCTTCCCCTAGGCAACAGCAACGAGACAAAAGGACACAGTCTTAAGCTGTGCCACTGGAGGTTTAGGCTGGACATTACAGGAATTTCTTCATGGAAAGGGTGGTCAGGCATTGGAAGGGGTTGTCCAGGGAGGTGTTGGAGTGCCCATCCCTGGAGGTGTCCAAGCAAAGCCTGGATGTGGCACTGAGTGCTCTGGGCTGGTGACAAGGTGGAGATTGGGCACAAGTTGGGCTTGATGGGCTGGGAGGGCTTTTCCAACCCAGTTGATCTGTGATAGGGGAGTAACGAGTCTCATTTTAGGGAAATCCCTGCTCTGAAGGAAAAGAATTCTTCTGATAAATACAAAAGAAAGGGGAAAAGCAGCTTTGTTTCCTTTCACTGAAGCCAGATGCTGAAAATAAATGTCTGAGTGCCTAAATCCCGTTTTCCAAACAGATTTTGGAGGCATGAATTACCCTCAGTTGATCTGGGCTTTTCCAAAGTCCATGAAGCTCTTCAGACTCGTGTGACTTTCATGGCAGGAGCCAGCAGTGCTGCTTTAGGGCAGTGTGGTGCTGTCCTGTGCCTAACCTTTGGCTTGGCTCAGCCTTTAGGGCGGCTTCCCATCACTTGTGCCAGATTGTCTGACACTCACAGAGAGGGGGTGAGACACAGCCTGAACAGGCAGCAGCACCTGTGGTCTGACACCTGTGAGGGTGGGCTGCAGTGTGCAGGCCAGTGGTGCTGCAGGTGAGCAGTGAGAAAAGCCAGCAGGTGTGTGGCTGATGGGGAAATCTGGCTGGTTTCCTGCAGGTTTATGCGTGGTTAACCTGTTTAAAGTTTACTCCTTTCCTCACCCATCTCCCTTGCCTCTGTGAAATGTAGCTGCACCACCAGGGGGGCACTTAAAACCATCCAAGAAAAAAATTCATGGTGCACACTATTCTTGTATATGACCCCAGAATTTTATTGCTCTAATTTTCCTGCCTGTGTTCAGTTCTGGCTGTAATTTCTAAGTGCTGAGGCCAGGCAACCTGCCTGTCTTTATTGGAAATTGATGAGAACATTGCCTATTCAGAAAAAAACATAAAAGAAAGCTGCTTGGTTCGCAGAAAAACCCTGAGGTAAATGGGCTTGTGGGGGAAGGAGACCTATCCAGGGAAGCTGCTGGTGTTGACTCTGAACAAAGGTGGGGGCATTGCATTCTATAAGGTGGAGCACAAATGTTGAGGCTTTTGGGATGTGAATGGTTTAATTAATGTACAAATATTTGTTGCTGTTTGTAAGCATTTTTCTTCCATAAAAACCCTTTTCAGTGAAGAGTCTTCCCCAAAGTCCCACTGCTCCTCTGCCTTCTGCATCTGGGAAGGGGTTTCCCTCAAATCCTCCTGTGGCTGTTTATATAACACTCATTGCAAGTCGAAATGTTAAAAAAAATTAAAAAATCAATTAACATTTAATGTTTAATTTTTTTTGTTTTATGCAGGCCTTTGGAAATGCTAAAACAACAAGGAATGACAACAGCAGCCGCTTTGGGAAATACATTCAGATTGGCTTTGATAAAAGATACCACATCATTGGTGCCAACATGAGGACATATCTGCTGGAAAAATCTCGGGTTGTATTTCAGGTGAGGAATTGTGGGGCTTTGTCCTTTTCTTCTTTTGGGTGCTGTATTCCAGGAATTCAATAGTCTGGGTCTTTTCTGTGGATAAGAAAAAAAAAAATCTCTTTACAAAAATAACAACAGAATCATTTAGGTTGAAGTCACCTCTAAGGCAGCTGAATCCAACTGTCCCCCCAGCACTGTCATACCCATCACAGAATCATCATCATGGAATGGTTTGGATGTGAAGGGATTTTAAAGATTGCCTCATTCCAATCCCCTGCTATGGGCAGGGACACCTTCCACTGTCCCAGGCTGCTCCAAGCCCCATCCAGCCTGGCCTGGGACACTGCCAGGGATCCAGGGGCAGCCACAGCTGCTCTGGGCATCCTGGGCCAGGGCCTGCCCACCCTCCCAGCCAGGAAATCCTTTCCAATATCCAACCTAAACCTACTCTCTGTCCATGAGAAGCCCTCACTCCTTGTCCTGTCCCCCCATGCTTTTGTACAAAGTCCTTTTCCATCCCCTTGTGATCACATTCCTAAGTGTCACTTCTACATGGCTTTTAAACCCCTCCAGGGGTGGGGACTCCACCACTGCCTTTGCAGTTGTGTCACAGCCCTTTCCATAAAGGAATGGGTCCTGATAGCCAACCTAAACCTCCCCTGGCACAACCTGAGGCTGTTTTCCCTTCTCCTGTCGCTTCCTTGGTGGACACAGCTTCCAGATGTGTCTTTTGGACTCTGTCTTGGAGTTCTTTATGATTCCAGCCTTAGATGTGCCTGGGAGACTTGTTAGATAAGGAGCCAGGGAGAACAAATGGAGGCAGCAGTGTTCAGTTTTGAAGATGCAGAAGGGCAGGAGATGGGCTGAGAAGGCTGATGTCTGCCACAGCACATCCCTTGAGTTTCTTGTGCAGGCTCAGGAGAGGCTTTCTTAGCTTCTGCTTGGAAGGTAGATCAGAAGCTACTGCAAAAATTTTGTCCTTACGCAAAAAAAAAAGTGCTCCAACTACAAAAATCTTAAAAACCTGACAACTTTGAGAAGCTATGAAGAGTAAGCCACCTTCTTTTATATTACTGTGGGTTTGCAACTCAGTGCTTGCTGCTTCATTCATCCAGAGAGGGATAAGATATAGAAGGTAATACAGAATTATTTACTTTCTTTGCCTGATGGGCAGTGTGTGTTGGTCAGGTTTGGCACCTTCTTTCTCCCAGGTGGCAAGGAAAATGTCTTTGTGTTGGTGTCACTGACAGGTCTTGGTGGTGGGAGGCAGGGGATGGGATCAGGGTCTCCCTGGGCTCAGTGTGAGGTGGGAGCACTGCTGTGACCCCTCAGTGCCTCTGGTAACTCAGTGTTTCCCCACAGGCAGAGGACGAGCGCAACTACCACATCTTCTACCAGCTCTGTGCCTCCTCAAGCCTCCCAGAATTCAAAGACCTTGGACTCAGTAAGTGCTGGCACATCCCTGTGCCCTGCTGGCTGCTGCCTGGGCCTGAGGGCAGCAGGGGAAGGTGGTGGGGTCAGAAGTGCAGGTCCCTGGGGAGGCTGTGTGCCCTGGGAGGAGGGCAGGGGGATGAGACTGCAGGGCTCTGCTGCTGGCTGGAGCACAGGTTTGCTCACGCCATCATCACCAGGGACGTGGCACCTTGGGGTGAGGGTGGGTTCCCCCAGAAGCTGTGGCTGCCCCTGGATCCCTGGGAGTGTCTGGGGCTGGGTTGGATGGGGCTTGGAGCAGCCTGGGACAGTGGAAGGCGTCCCTTTAAGGTGCCTTCCAACCCAAACCATTTTGTGGTTCCATGATTTTGTAAAAATCAGCAGTGAAACTGCAGTAGCTTCAGCTGCAGTGAAACTACACTGCTGTGGTGTATGCCAGCTGATGCAGGGAGATCATGTGTTAATATTGTACCAACCTTGCATAAGGTGTGTGCTTTAAATCAGATGTGAGTGTGGACTGATCTGGCCAATGTCCTGGCAGGAGTGGTTGTACCCTTTGAATTAGTTATGTTTCTTTCTTTTCAATGGCTAACTCCTGGAGTGGGTTGGGTTTTTCCCCCCAGGATTTGCAGTAGAACACTTGATTCAGAGGGTTTGCAATCGGAGCAGGTGGCGCAGGGATAAATTTTAATTATTTTTTAATCTTGAATATTTGCTGTTGCTTAGGGAGAAAACCAAGGTTTAAACCAGGCTTTTTACCTATTTTGAACAGGGAGCAAGGCAGGTTCTGATCCCCCCACAGGGTCTTGCAGAAGCTGCCATCCACACTACAGTGGAACGGCAGATGAAGAGAGGGGATTTCAGTTTCTAGGTAATCCTGAGCTTGCCTTAATGACCTTTTGGGTCACTGTAGGCACATTGCCTGCACAGAGCACATCACATGGACCCTTTTCAAGACTTTATGCCATATTTATGTGCTTCATTTTAAAAAAACATACCCTGGGTAACGATGATATTTGCTGGCATCTTAAAATTTACACACAAACTTTTTCAGCTCCTTCTGGGAGATGAGTTGACGTGTGAGAGCTCCAGCTGTGAAACCACTGCTCTCTTCTTGGGAACATGTGGATCAGGGGAAATACCAACCTTACTCATCACAGCTCTCTAAAAGCATCATCTGTGTTTGTGTGACTGGCAGGAGTGCAGGCTGAGAGCCTTTGCTGTCCTGGTGCATCACCCAGGACACGTTTGTGCAGTTGTGACTGTGCCTCAGCTTCAGCATCTCAGGGATGAATGTGTAATGGCAACAGCTGGCGGTGCAGGGGGAGTGGGTGCCGGGGCCATTCGCTGCAAGGAAGCCTTCTTGGGTCATTTCTAATCAAAATTTGGTGCCAGTGCCTGTCAGTCTCCAGCTGCTCTCCGTGGCTCTTTGCATTTGCTGTGTCACAGCATGCCCAGGTGTCCAGTGGATGTTGGAGAAGAAGCAGCTCTTTCCAAAGGTGAAGGGATGTGTTCTTGGTGTTTCCTGCCCTCTCACTTTGCAATAGCTGGAGGAAGCCTCCCCAGAGTGTTTTGGGGCTGTCAGATGTGGGGCTGCTCATGGGCTCTGTGGGGATGGGGATGTGGGCCTGTGAGCTGCTCCTGTTGGTGTGACACAGGCTCAGCCCTTGCCTGTGGGATTGCTGGTGCTGGGCAGGGGGCTGTGGGTGCAGAGGTGCACAATTCACTTCTTTTTCTTTCTTTTGAGTGATGTTTTCAATTTCCAGCTTTGCCTTGGATTTACTGGCCTGCTTGAAGATGACTAGTCAGAACTCAGATTTATTTCCTTGTGTGAGCTGTACTTACCTGTCAATCTTGTCTTCCCAAGGCTTATACAAAACAAGAGGTGTCTTGATGTGAAAATCCACTTTTTATTTATTACTCATGGAGGAGGATATATATTTTTCCATCTGAAAACCTAGGAGCTATTGCTTCTCCTTTGGGTCTTACACATACAGAGAATTGTTTTTACTTCCTTTTATGTTGCAAGATGCTGGAAAACAAAAAGAGTCTCTAAACATACATGAGCCCAACAGAGCAAACCGATGTTGGTTTCAGTCAGAGTGATCCTAAAGGGCTTAATTTTAAACTAGAAAGTAAATATTTGACTTTAAATGGTGATGTGCAATGCGAGTGCCTTTTGAAGTGTGGTGTCTGGCTTAATGATGCCTGGGCGGTGGTGCAAGGCAGAAAGGTGTTTTATTTGTTTGCAGTGAAAAGGGTTTGTGTGGTTAAAATAATTACAGAGATCTTGAAATACAGAGATTGGAGTCAGTTATACCAGGGATGACTTGGGGCAGGAGCAGATCCCAGTGTGAATGTTGCAAATGGAAAGCTGAGGTCCTGGTCCCATCAGCCACATTGGTCTGCCTGACCCCAATCAGCATTTTCTGCACCTCATTCCTGATGCTCCAGCAATGAGTGAAATTACCGAGACCTCTGGGTAGCAGGGCTTTTGTATGCCAAAAGGAATCAAATGTTTTTCTTTACAGCCTGAAAGTACAGCTAATGCAGAAGCCTGTGGGAGGCCTGGGAAGGGAGGGGGAGCTTCTGGAGGCAATTTGAGTCAAGAAAAGTGCAGATTGCAGTGTTTTAAAGGTTACCACTAGGCTGGTGGGGAACACAGTAGGATTTTTCTCTCTATTCACCATGCTTGGAGAATATGTTTGTGTGTGTTAATGAGTGGGTTTTGGCTAATGACTCCTACTCAGTTCAAACCAGGCTGAGGCTGGTGCTGAGAGCTGATTCTGGGTGGGATGGGGAGGCTGCCCAGGGGCTGGGCTCCCCCAGCCCTCTCAGGGCAAATCTCTGGCTGTGCCAGGGCTCAGCAGCAGCTATGGGCACACATCTCCCTGCTCTGGGCCTCCTGAGGGGCCTTGTTTTAAGGAGGGGGATTACATGAGCAGCTCTCTTAAGTGGACACAAATCCTGCAATCTCTTCTTGTTGTATTTGCATTGGAAATGCCTCTCAGCCTCCACAGGATTTATTGGTGTCATCCTAGAGTAACTTTGCTAGGGCACAGATGTTCAAGTGGTGTAAGGCACCGTGAGCCATTCTCCATTCCCTTTGCTCCCAAGGATTAAGGCTTTGTGTAGAAAAGGTGTTAAAATACCTGAATCAGTCATGGGTGTGTGAAACAGGATGAGGAATTACTGAAAGGAGTCACCTCAGTGTTTGGAATGGTCTTCCCCCATGTGAAGGAGCTGTTACTAGAACCCCAGACACAGCACAGCGCTGCCCTGACTGCACTTGCTATGCATGGAGAGGTTCCACCACTGCAGGAAGCAGCTACAGCCACTTACCAAGGTCCTGCTTCATCCACCCCTGAGCAAACTGTGCTTCACAGGACACAGGTGTCCTTCAGGGATGGGCACAGGGAGTATCCAGTTGAGCCCATTTGAGGGAGTGCTGCAGTGGGGTGCAGATATGGCGGTCTGGGAGGAGAGAGAAATCTAGATAAGCTTTCCCATGAATTGGTCTGGGGAGCAAGCTAGATAAAGTTTCCTGTGAATTGGTCTGGAGAGAAAGCTAGATAAGATTTCCCGCGAATTGGTCTGGGAAGTTTTAGGGAGGTGGAGAGAAAGAATTGTAAACTATCTGCAGGTGGTGTTTTGAGCAAGTTGTTTTTCTCATAAGACATTTACCTAAGGGTGTCTTCTTAATTAGCCAGTCGTGTGAAATGTGTTAAATGACCAATCAGGTGTCCCTGTATCAGAACAGTGTATAAAAGAAGGGGTCCCAATAAACCTGGGGTTTCTAGCCTCTTAACTTCTGACCTAGAAGCTGTGTTTTTAATTATCCCTTCCTGACTCATTGGAGACAGTGGGGAGGACTGCTTGCTCACCTTTTCCTCCTCTTTCTTTTCTCCTAGCTTGTGCCGAAGACTTTTTCTACACTTCTCAGGGAGGTGACATGTCCATTGATGGCGTGGATGATGCTGATGACTTTGAGAAAACCAGACATGCCTTCACCCTGCTTGGTAAGGAGCTGCTCTGCTTGAAGCCTGCCCAGCAGAAGTTTCTCTCAATTGTTCTCAGTGTTTTGCCGGAATTATAATGTTCCTGTAGACCTAGCTGGCTTTACTTTGCCCGTTAGTAGGAGCTACAGAAGTGTTTCTAGCAGCTGTCTGTGGAGCAGCAGTGAAATGGGCAGGGATGCAGAATTTAAGAGAAGCCATTCTGAAGTCAAAGCAGGGCTGCAGTATTGACTTGCTATTTTTTACCTTGTTTACGAGCAGGAGAAGAGCTATTACTGAGCAGTTCAGTCTGTGTTGTGGTGGAGGGTGATGTCACTTGTTGGATCAGTGTGCTGTGCTGGGTAGCTGATTCCTGGAAATAATGAGCTGAGTACATCCCTGCTGTGCAGAGCCCACATGCACACGGCAGCTGCAGGAGCTGTGGCTCTGTCCAGCCCCCGTGCTGGCAGCAGGGGAGCAGAGCTGTTAAAGGAAAAACAATCCGGAAGGGAAAACTTGCCCAGTGTATTTGTATTTATCTGAAACCAAGTTTATAAATCCTGGTGAGTCTTGGTACCTCTTGGTTCCATTTCACAAGTTGGGAGGGGAGCTCATGATGTTCAGAGTTGTCTGTGAAAGCCCCTGACCAGCTGTGCCTGCAGTGAGTGTGGGGTCTCACTGCAAGCTGTAGAACTGCACTTGTTTCCCCAAAATTTGTCCTCTGTGTGTTTTGGATGGGCCTCATCTCTTTCTCTTTGGGATCTTATCTTTACCCTCCTCTTGTTCAGCTTGTGTGAGTTCAGTTACCTACTCAAAAAATACCATTCCTGGTTGCTCCAAACTTGCCCACTGGACTCCAATTATCTGGGGATATCTCTGGATATCCCCAGAGAACTCTCTCCCCCAAACCCCTGGCATATGTAGTCTCCCCTTCTCTGGCTCCCCAGGCAGCTCCCCTGTCTCCTTGCTGGTCCCTGGGAAGCCCTGTGAGAGCATCTTCCTCTGGGGCCAGTCTGATGATGACTTTCTGTTCTTCATGTGCTCCTCTCTCTCTGCTTTTCCTCATTTTCCTCCAGTGTTCCCCAGCTCTGCTTCCGTTCATGGCCTGGTGAAATTGCTGCTACACTTTCCAGTCTTGCCTTTTTGTGTGTAACAAGAAGTCAAATTTGTCTGCAAATCCCCAGTCCTAGCCAGGCTTAACTTCAGTTAAGAGTTCTGAGTAAGAGCAGAGCATTGCTCCTTTTAGTGACCTTGAAACATTTCTCACTGTGCTGATGACAGAAATGTCCCGAGAGAGAGAGAAAGGGAGGCTCTGGATAATTCAGAAACCAGCAGGTGATGTCTCAGACCTTGGGTGGATAATGAGGACACCAGCCCTGAGCACAAAAGGGACACAGAAACCCAGCTGGGATGTTAAAAAAATGCAAGATATGGTGAGAAGGCCGTGTGTGGGCTGCTGCTGAGCAAAGCTCCTGCTGGGAATGCCTGTAAAGAAACATAGATAAAGCAATATTTAAGTAAAATATATGAAGCAATAACATCTTACACCCCCGGTAAAGACCCACAAGTGTGTCTTGTGGAAACACTGGGGTGGGTAAGACAGAGCTCCCCATCACCTCCCTGGTGACTTGCTGCATCCAGCTGTGCCACCAGTGTGGGGGCCTTGTGCAGGGCTTTAATTTTCCCTTCTTTTTGTGGGATACTGGCAATAGGTGTAATTTGTAGTTTGTGTGCTTTGGTTGTCAGCAGACTGATGACAGATGAGCAACTCCTTGTTCTGTGAAGGCTGCAGAGCCCCTGTAGCTCTGATCCTGTTTGTTCACTGTGGAGCAGCATCCTTGGGTTTGAGTGAATTAAACCCACCCATGTTAAAATTGAGAGTTTATGGTGTATTTGCTGGAAGAAGCCTTGCGACTCTGAAAACCAATTGTCTCGGAAGGAAATCAAACACTGCAAGCACTTTCAAATAAACTCAAAATCACGTTTCATTTTCCTTTGAGGCAATCAGCTGTCAATTTTTCCTGCAGGAGTGAAGGAATCTCATCAGATGACCATTTTCAGGATAATTGCTGCCATTCTGCACCTGGGGAACTTGAAGATCCAAGGGGAACGAGACGGGGAGGTCTGCAGTGTATCGGTAGGTGACCCTCAGGAGCTCCCACGTGGGGAGCTTGGAGTGCTCAGGAGTCAGGCTGTGCTCGTGTCCTTGGCTAGAAAGCCCTTTACCTCCTGGTTTCCTTGGCCTTTTTCTGAAAACCCATCACAAGTTCCTAGTTGCTTTTTATGTCCTGGGAAATAATGCATTTTCCCTCCTCTCCACCCAGACTGCAAGTGAGGTTGTTCAAAATTTGCTTTCATCCCTGACATCCCAACCCACCTTAGCTCTTCCTGCTTCCCTAGAACACCCAGTGCAGGGTCTTGGGAACTTGTGACACTGATGGTGACACCACCAGCACAAGGTGTGATGCTTTACAACCACTTTTCCTCCAGGCAAAGCCATGGAGCTGCTGCTTGTAACATGGCCAAAGGAGCACTGCGTGGTTAATTAGCAAAAATAAGTAACACTAAAGATGCCTTAGAGGCAGTTTTTCTGTTTCTGTGTTTGTTCAGAGGTGGGGAAAAGTAAAGCAATTATATGGAAAATACTGTCCTGTAAATTATCATTGCATCCCAGGCTGGGTCGTTTGTTCCTAATTAAAGTATTAAAAGGGTTCTGCACACACTTCAGTGTTGCCCTAGAGATAATGCGGTGTTCAGTGTGAGATGCTAGAGGTAATTTACTTAATATTTGGCAACATGAATATGTGAAGGCTGCTTGCTTCAACGATGTTGAGTTCTGTTAATGAATCTCGTGTTGTTTAATTACCTTCAAATGTAATTGCAAGGTATTAAATCAATTCTGGTACAACCTTGACTCTGGTCAAAAAGGTATTGTAGCAATAGAACATACTAGAATTCTTGTAAAATGCACTCTTTTTACTGCATCCCCAACTCCATCCAGCATTTCTAAGTACACTTACCTAGCTGGAAACAATTTATTTCCTATAGATATGTATTATTACACAGGGGAGGAGGAAATTGTTTTCTTGTTTTCCAAAAGGCAGAACTGACTATCTGACCGTAATAGAGACTCAGAACTACTTTGTCTTAATTTCAGAGGGGGAAAATACATTGCACTAAAGAAAATGAAGTTCACATTTCATTTTATTAATTGTGCAAAGCCTAAGCCCTTCTGGTAATGCACGATTTATTGCTTTGTTATTCACGATGGAGTTATTTTGTAAAAGGCATGGTGTCCTGATGTACCCTAAGCTTTAGTCTGAGGCATCACCAGGGTTGCTGTGGGGCAGGGTGTAGCTGCAGCTTCAGGAGGTGGAGAATTCTTTTTGCTGTGGGAATGTGCTTTTTGTGGAAGCTGAGAGCTCAAGGATAACCAGGGCAGGGCCAGGCCTTGGTGCCACCATCCAGAGCTCCGTGTGAGCTGTCCCACCCTGTCCACGAGGACTCCCACATCTGATGGGTGTCACTGCCTTCCCACTCCTGTTCCCCACAGAGACACAGCTTTCCTAGATAGCTACAAAACCCCGCCATTCGTTGCGCAGGGCTGTGAACTTGGGTGTCAAAATGCCTCTTTGGGGTGCCACCAGCCTGCTGACCTGACTTTTGGTTCCCCCCCACCTCCCTCCCAGAGCGAGGACGAGCACCTGAGCAGCTTCTGCAGCCTGCTGGGCGTGGAGCACAGCCAGATGCAGCACTGGCTCTGCCACCGCAAGCTCGTCACCACGGCCGAGACCTACGTGAAGAGCATGTCCCTGCACCAGGTGGTGAACGCCAGGAACGCCCTGGCCAAGCTCATCTACGCCCAGCTCTTCAACTGGATCGTGCAGCACGTCAACCAGGCCCTGCACACCACTGTGAAGCAGCACTCCTTCATCGGCGTGCTCGACATCTACGGGTAGGCACCTCCTCAGCACCCCGGGCTGATCAGTGACTGCTTCACAGCCTGTCTTCCCCTTCCTGCAAAGCTCACTCTGCTTTGTTTGGGGGCAGGTGGTGGGAATGATGGAAAAGTATTGGAATAATAATCCCAATATAACCAGTTAGATTGTGCCTGGGTCAGTGTGACCCTCGCTGCTGGGCCAAAGGCAGCACTGTGGTGCTTTACCCCAGAGATACCTTGGCTGCTGGAGATTGCAGCGGGGCACTGGTGCAAGTCCAGGCTTGTCAGGAACTCCGTTTACCTCAGGAGAGAGAGCTCCTGGTGATGGTGAAGAGAAGAAGGAGAGGATTCTGCTGGAGGGTTGCCAGATGTTTATTCCATGGTTACAGAGGTCTGAACCGGGGCAACAGCTGCCAACAGAATGGAGGCCGCATGGTCTGATTAACCTTATAAGCTCGGGGACAGGGCAAGGGGAGGGGACAGGTGAGCCACCAACCAGGTGAAAGGGGCAGGGTCTCAAGGGACTGGGGACACCTATACGGGCCAATGTCCCCCAGGCCTGAGGAGCATCCTTTGAAATTGACCAACCATACGACGCCTTGCTGGTATGTTAGCCTGATTGACAAGGCACACTCAGCAAGGGGCGAGGGGGAAGGGAATATTGGCACACCTGAGAAAGGGACCCGGAAGCTAAAAACACACCACAACGGAAAGGAGCGCACAAAAAAGTACTGTGGGGTTTGCAGTTTTGATCCCCCTTCAGAGGGATCCCCCTTCAGAGTGTGCAGCCTTCAGCACAAAATGGTCTCTGTGAGCAGTGGGTTCTGGGTTTTACCTCCTATGCCTTTCCCATCTGGAGTTTCTGTCTCCTGTGCTGTTTAAAACAACCTCAAAAATGAGCTGCGGTTAAAGGTGCTGCTGTGGAGAGCAAAGCTGGCCTCATCTTGCTGTGGGGTTTGAGGACACTCCTTCACTTCATCTGTGAAGCCACTGCTGCAGGGCTCTGGTGCAGTGGGAGCCTTCAGAGGAGCTTAGGAACCTGTGGTGGGGATGTCAGGTGCAAAAAGCTCTTGCAAACTTGCAGTCTGTGCCCTCAGGGGCAATGAGCCACTTTAAAATTGTTCTGGTTACCCGTTACTGCCTGAGTTGTCATCCTGAGTGGTGGTAGAAGAGGGCTGTGAGAGTTGTCTGAGCTCATTTTAGCTGAACTGCTGCAAAGAAGCAGAGGAGGGAGGAGAAAGGAAGGGATTCTGTCAGTTGTGGGGTGGGAAAGGAAAGAGGACTTGTGGGTTTGGGTTTTACCCTGCATTTTTCCAACACCCTTTTTTTTTTGTGTGTGTGTGTGTGTGTGTCTCTGGGGCAGCCAGGCCAAGAGAGAAGTCCCAGGTGGCCCAGACAGCAGATCCATGCTAGGCTGGGTTAGATGGCACTTGGAGCAACCTAGGACAGTGGAAGGTGTCCCTGCATGACCCTGGATGACCCTAAAAGGTCGCTGCAACCCAAAACCCTTCTGGGGTTCTGTGGTTCTCAGTGGGACAGCAGTGGTCTCCTGTTCTCCCTTACCCATTCAGGTGCTGAATTGCTCCTGTTTCGGAGGGGAAGGTGGAATGCACAATTTGCAGCTGCTCCAGGAGCCAGTCCCCAACCCAGGGCAGTCACTGTGCTTGCTCAGTCCCCAGTCCTGTGTCCTCTGAAGGTCTGTCAGCTCTAGGAGAACCTCAAAATGAGAATGAAATCCTGCCAAAGAAGTTCTGGATCAGAACAAAAAAGCAGTGTGATTTTAGGGCTGTAACACCTACACAATTGCTGGAGCTGGGTCTTGTGTATAAACCCTCCCATGAAGTTTGTACAGCTACTGGTGTTTGGGATGATAGTTTTGACATCTGGACAACCAGAGCAGCAGAAAGGATGCCAGACAGTGCTGGAGCAGCAGTGCAGCCCCCCTGGCTGCTGGTCTCCATCCATAGCTGCTGTCATGTGGCAAGGTTTGCAGGAACACTGCTATCAAGGGTGATAACCACACAGTTCTCCTCGGTTTGGGATTTCAGTGGGAATGGCTTGAGGTGATGAGGTTGCTCTCTCTGGTTTGTAAGATTCTGGGCTCACTTGGGAAGATCTTAAATACAGTACAGTCTGGTTCAAGGGCTGTATGAGATAGAGAAGCTGTTTCCCATCTCTTTTCTATGAGATAGAGAAGCTGTTTTCCCCCACAGAAATTTCTGCAGGCCGGCGTGTGATAAATAAAGCTTTGAGATGGAGCCCTGTGGGCGATGGTGGGTCCATACAGAAAATTGGATGCCTGAGTTAGAGGATCAGACTTTCAGAAATCTGAATGAAAGGAGGCTTGAGGATAAGGCTCATGAAAGATTAAGCTGGGCTTGAAAATCTGTTGGTGTGGAAGAAAAATCTCCTTCAGCTGCCTGTCCAATGCATGAGCCAGCAGGTGCTTTCAGCCCTGGTGACACCAGCAGGGCTTTTCCACAAGGACCTGCAGGTCCTACTGAGGAGGCAGATTTGCAGGGGAAGGTGTCCCTGTTCTTGGCTGATACGCTTGTGGGAGTCTGGTGTCCTAAAATGGCCATGAATCCCTTTTGTAAATGGGTGTTGCTGTCTGAATGCTGAGTAATTTACAGTGCAGGGAATATGGGTGTTGATAGCCTGACTCTGCTGAACTATAAAGTCTGGTCTGGTTCTCCTAACTCATGTGTTTTTTGAGCTTTAATGCATTTTTCTGACTAACAGATTTCCACCCCCTCAAATGGATGTTGTTTTGTCCTTTCCTTTGGGAGAGGGGTTCAGCTGGAAAGGCAGGGAGCCTGCAGCAGCTTCACAGCACATCCTTGACATCCTCAGAGCTCCTGTCCCAGTGCTCCTGGGGGAGGACTGTCCCTCTGGCTTGGATTTCTAGCCATGGGAGCCACACAGAGGGTGCAGAAGCTGCAGGGTTTTTATTCCAACTTTCTAATGCTCGACTTTGCATCCTTAATTCTCTGTTAACACTGAGGTGAGAGGGTGCAGCACTGAAAGCCTTTCTGTATTTATTGAAATGGTGTTATTTGCTGTAGGACCAATACTGAAGTCATTCAGAAGAGTGGATTCATGTGGCACTCCTGGACTTGGTGGGGATGGCTTGTTCCCCCTCCTGTTTGCTGCGTGAAATGTGAACACCCAGGCAACCAGCTGTGTGCTGGACTTATTCATGAACTTTAAATATTAAAACACAAACCTTAGTGCTTCAGAGGACTTAGGAGAGACCAGCAGAAAACCCAAAATGCAGCATTTTCCCCTTGAAAGTCTACTTACAAGAGCTGTCCCCAGGCTGGATGTGCCTTCCAGGGAGCCACAGCAATGGGTTTCAGTGGTGAATATGCATATTTTTTCCACCAGTGCACTAAATGGATAGAGAGCCAACAGGCACTGTTTTTCTTTCCCCATCAGGATGTTGCCCTCAGTGCAGTCGCTCTGAGCAGGTAAGGCCTCCTGGCGTGCACACACGTAGAGCTGGCGACTAATCTGCTTTGTCAATTAGCAAAGTGAGCTAGTAGAGTCCCTTAATTAGCAACTTTGTGAGATATCCCTCGGAGCTGGAGTTGTACAGCAGCTCTGCCCCTGGCTGGCACTCACTGGGAGGGTTCATAAATCACATCTGGTGTCTCGGAAGGGGAGAAGTTTCCACTCTGATTTCTTTTCCTCACACAATCCTGCCCTCATTGCCTTTTCCCACCTAGCTCGCTGTGCCTCTCCGTCTATGTTTTGATTAAATCTTTCCTTGCCCTGTTGCTGTGGTCACGCCTGCAGCAGCTGGTATTTCCAAAGAGTCCTGGGAGCCACATTCCTTGAGTGGCAAGGGATGGAGGTGCAGATTGGCTCAGCCATGCCACTGAGATCAAGCACAGAGGGGGCTCTCCAGGGACACATCCACCACTGAGGGCCATGACACGCCTTTAATGTCATCATTTGTTGTCCCAGGCACCAGATTCTGTTGTATTAAAGACTCTAAAGCCCAGTTTTTGGGAAGGGGATGGGTTAAGCATCCTCTGCTTGGCACAGGTGGCACCAGCTTGCTGGACACACAGAGGGAAAGCAGTCCCAGGTTTCCTCAAGGACTGTGGGGGTGATAAAAGCACAAAACCAGCTCATTTCTCCATTCCCATTTTTCTTTTGCCACTTGGCATGGCATTTCCCCGGGGACTCTGGCATTTTGTGTGGTGATGGCATTGTCACCTGGAAGTACCTGGGAACAACTGCATTGCCTGGGTAACAGCAGGGTGGTCCTCAGGAAGTGCCAGAAGTGCTGATTATTTTGAGGAAGAGAGGCTGGAAAGAAAGGGCTTCATTCATTCAGTGTTTAAAGACTGTTCTGCCAGCTCCTACGGTGCCTATTACCCCCAACAATTATTTAGTCACATATTTATCATTACAGCAGCTTACTCACTGAACACACAGGAAGCCTTCCCACTTCTCCCCTTGCTTTGATCCTTACAGTCATGTGTCAAAGACTTCTTTTTTTCCCTTCCCCCTACCAACTGTGCCTTAAAAATAGAAATATAAAACACATAACTCCCAGTGGTAGCTCAAAATACCCTCTTTGGGTTTTAAGAGCTAGCCTGGCTCCCTGTGCCTGTCCTTGGGTGTTGTGTGCTTCAGCCTCAGGGGCTCTGCTGGCTCCCTGCTCCGTACCTGTAGTCTGTCTTACTAAAACTGCATATTTTTTCCTTTCTAATTGTGATTAGGAAGGTATTTTTGGGCCTTTTTTAGAGCTGATGTGTGGCAGGGTAAGATAATGTTTTGGCATGGGGAGCTGTGGAAGTCCTGGTGAAGAGGTGGATCACAGAGTCCAGCACCAAGGACCCTCTAAGGAATGTGGAGCTGGAGCTGAAATCACCATTTTTCCCCTTCTCCCTTCCAGAACTTGCTTACTCACGTGTGTCTAATTTTTGTTCTAACGGGGATGCAGTACAGAAGCTATAATTACAAATTTAATACCTTCTTTTTTCTGCTCTATTAAATTCCATTAAAAGTAGCATGCTGGGTCTTTTAAGACAGCAGCTACTGTTTCTTCATCACCTTTGCAGTGAATGTATTTGGAACTTAATATTTCATAATATTTTTCCCCAGGAGAGGCAGTTGCATTTCTTGTCTCAGACAGAGCTGATGGGCAGGAAGCTGCAGTCGTGCCAAATGTCTCATTCATGTGTACCAGGAGGGACCTCTTGAATCCCTTGAGTTGTGCCAAGAAAAGAAAGATGTTTTGAGGAAAAAAGTGTAAATTTAGGACAGGAGGAATGGAAATTAGGGTTGAGTGCTCCCCATCACACGGATGGCACCGTTGCAGGAAAAAATTTAAAAAAAATTAAAAAAGAAAATTTTGAGACAAAGCAACGCCTAATGCTGATTTATTCATTGCTTTGCAGGTTTGAAACTTTTGAAGTGAATAGCTTTGAACAGTTCTGTATCAACTATGCCAACGAAAAGCTCCAGCAGCAGTTCAACTCGGTAAGGTCAGCTTGGAAACTTTCCATAAAACAGAGCAGAAAATGTAACTAGGCAGGACTGTGGTGTGTCTGGCTTCTGCTCTGCAGCATTCACCTGCAGCCTGGACAGATCATGGGCATCCTTGGGATGCCCCTTTCCCAGACATTTCACTGCAGTGGTTCTGGATATTCCTATCAAGGTGGAAAATATTGCTTAGTTGATGTATAAATGTGATCCTGGAACTGGATTTGCATGTGATCTGTGCAAAGGCTCACATATTGCTCTGAATAAGTATGAAATCTGCCTTTTTCTTGGTGCCGTTTCAATCCTAAAACAAATCCTGGGTGGTCTCATGCTGATTTCCAGTGTGAATTAAAATAAGTTATGGGTGTGGAAACCTTCCCATTAAGCATGGATTAAACCTGTGAGATGAAAACTCTGTATTAAATAACAGAATTGGAAACACTCCCTGCTTTTCACTTGGACATGCCTCACAAAACCCAGAAGTGTTCCTATTTTATTAGAAACAAGCATATACCTTCACTGGAAATGGAACCCGTAAGGAGTTGTCTTCTGCTTTGGTTGTAAGTAGGGAAAAATACCGTTAATTTCAGGATACAGGGAAAACTTGTTAAATTTGAGCATTTAAGTACTGCAGATTAGTTTGGCCCTTTGAAGCTATATCTTATGCATGGACATGAACATTTGCAGTCTATCTAATGCATCACATAGATCACTGCTGCTAAAAATGAAAAGTAAATTATTGTATTTGCACTATTCATATCTTACTTGGTATGTCTAACTATCACTTCTGAAGCGTATAAATTCAAGCTCCAAGATGACATGTTTGAAGAGATTTTAAAAAGCTATCTTTGAAGGGAAAAAAAAGTGCATTTGAAAAATCATTTTTTAATATGCTCTGGAGTATCTCAGAAATAGCCAGAGACAATTTATCTGCTTGGGCAGAGGTCTGAGATATACGTAAGCCTTGCAAAGATTTTTTTATTATAGGTTCTTTCAAATGAGAATTTTCAATAGAAGTGTCCTCGAGTCAGTCAGATGGTGCTGCTGATATCCTTTGTGGGATGATGGGTGCTCTTTGTGCAGCCCTGCTCGCAGATGGGGACACGGGCACCCAGCCCTGGCTGGGCTCCCAGCTTGTGAACCTGCTCCAGGTCACTGCTTTAATCAGCAGAGCAATAAAGCAGGGGAGGATTTTTGTCAGCCCGAGAGATAGATGTGTCACTGCCACGCCAGTGTATGGCTCCCACCTCGTTGCAGTGACAGCTCCACTCACTTTGTAGTGAAAGTAATTTCAAGCCTTATTTTTCCCTGCGCCGTGGTGTCCCAGCGTGATGGTTTTGTTTTCCTGGCTAGGAAGATGGGCTGTGTGAATGTGCAGGCTGTGTGTGAGGGAGCCTCTGGATGTGCTGATGGGATGCTGAAGCCCAGCAGGGACAGGGGGAAGGGGCTGTGCTCTCTGGCTGGGCTCACACTCAGCAGCTCTGCTTTCTCCCACTCCCAGCACGTGTTTAAACTGGAACAAGAGGAGTACATGAAGGAGGAAATCCCCTGGACTCTCATAGACTTCTATGACAACCAGCCCTGCATAGACCTGATAGAGGCCAAGCTGGGCATCCTGGACCTGCTGGATGAAGAGTGCAAGGTAAAGAGGACCTCCCCCCTTTTCACCCATGTCTTTGTCTCTGCAAATGTCAAAGAATGGGCTTTAATCTCTGGTGTCTTGTAGGTAGGCAAACGTCTCCTTTCACATGTGTTGCGGCTGTGCTCATGGCAGGGGTAGGCTTGAGCTGGGGTTTGGTTTGATTTGGGACATTCAGAGCCTCCCAGACAGGTGTTTGCTCCAAACCCAGGCACCTGAACTCACCCTTTGCAGCCAGTGCTCATGTGTCTGGTCTGGCTGTTCTGAGGCACAGCCTTCCACTGAGACCTGATGTCTTTGGCATTGCCCAAAAGGAGCTGGAGCTCCTCTCAAGCCTTATTTTGTCTCAGGGGAAACCTGTCTTCTTGCAACATCTCTTTAAGGCAAAACTCATTGCATTTAGTGTGCAGACTTCAGAGAGGGGTGATGTTGGAGAGCAGTTTGCCGTCTTTTGCCCCCTCTCTCTCTCATACTGGCCAAAATGAAATCTTGTTTGAAATTTGAGAAGAAAAACCAGAGTGGCAAACCTTGATGACAATCCAGAAGAAAGGCTGGGCTCCTTGTTCACACATTGCTCAGTCATGAATAATCAAATAAACTTAGGAACAAGGAATGTCAGAGGGCAGGTTTCCTTGGGAAGCTGGGAGGCCTGCTTTGAAGCTCTTTGATGCTGGAGATGGATGTCCTGTTGGAAGGGGATGGGGACTGCCTTCCTGCTGGATGTGCCTGCCTTGAGGGGCATTAGCCTGGTGTTGCTGTGGGGTGACCCACGTTGTCCTCAGGAAGGGTTTCCATTGAGGCTTGGGTGTGTTCTGTGCCAGGGAATGTCTTTCTGACTCTGGGAGGGCCCTGAGTGATTTTCAACAAAGGCAGGGAGGAGTGAGACAGAGTGCTGGGAGAGCTGAAGTGGATAAAGGGCCGACCTCACCAGCACAGCCAAGGTGATAAGAAGGACCCATGGAACTCTTGTGGTGTCTGTGGGATCTGTGAGCCCAGGAGAGATTTGATGGCTCAAGAACACAAATACCATGTTGTATCAGAGGGAAAGGGTTGGGATCCATTGTTCAGACTGGTTTCCCTGGGCAAGGATGAAGCACCTGTGTTTGTTGGGAAGGTGGGTGACCTGTGAAGTTTTGAGACCCTCCAGGTACCAGGGCTGCCTTCCCTGTCCCAGCCTGCACATCCCACGAGCTCAGCCCTGGTCTGAGCTACAGACACTCTGGCTTTGTCTTTGGGGTGAGCCAGAATTGGGGCTTTGCCCTTTTCAAGTCTGCGCTCACAAAATCTCCTTAAAAATGAGAACAAATTAGGCTTAATTTTATGTCCTTAAAAATAGAATCTCAGCCAGTGCTGGTTTGGAAGGAGGTCAGATTATTTGCTTGATATTCAGCACCACTTAATCTGCTCTCTGTGCTATGAAGCCAGTTAAATTCTGCAGGCTCAAGCTGTCTCCTGGATGCTGTGAGGACCATAAGGGAAGGTTCCCTGGTGTTGGGAGTCACACCTTTGGTTCCTCTCTGGAGCACCTGGCGCTGGTTGCTGCTGGTGGCATTGCTGGTGGTGACATTGCAGCTCCCATGTACCAGCCGTAGATTTACAGTGCTACTTTTTTAGCCCATACTTTTTTGAAAAAAAACCAAAAAAACCCACAAACACAAATAAAAAATAATAAAAAAAAACCAACAAAAAAATCACAAAAACCAAAACCCCCCAACCAAGATGTATTCCCTCCCCCTTCTCATCAAATGCCAATTATCTGGGTGTTTACCTGTCAGTGGGAGATGCTGTCATTAGTCACAGGCCCTTATTACCGGCCTTGTAATCGCCTCTTTTATAACAACCTGCAAGTGTTCTCCAGATTTATGAAAATTTCAGCAAAACCTGTCAGCTGAATGCAGCAGTTTATGGATGAAAGCCTCCACCCCCATGGCAGTGTTTCAGCTCCTGGGGTGGGACCACAATAAGGTAATTACACGCCACCTTGTTAGATCCTAGCAGACGATGAAAACACTCTGGGACGTGAAACGGCACCGGGGGAATATTTGGTACATAATGAAGCATTAGTGCAAATGCAGAGGGTTTGTCACTAATGTTCTCACTTCACAGTATGGGGTTTTTTTAAATCCCTAATGTGTGGTTGGAGAGGAGGTGGCTGGGTATGTGCTGAAGCAGTTCAGGAAGTGTAGGTCATAGCAGAGTCTTGTTGCTGTTTAGGGAAAGCTTGACGTAAGAATTGGCACTGAAAGAGAGGGCTCTTGAACTGGGGTTGGAGGGTTAAGGACTAAACCTGCCTCCTGAAAGCTACTGAGAAAAAGCCTACTTCTTAAAACACACTTTAGGGTATAGAATTGTGGAATCACAGAATCACAAGATGGTTTGGTGTTGACCTTAAAGATCATCCTGCTCCACCCCCTGCTCTACCCCTTCCACTGTCCCAGGCTGCTCCTAGCCCAGTCCAGCCTGGCCTTGGACATCCCCGCTCTCACAGGTGACAATTCCTTCCCAATACCCCATCTAACCCTGCACCCTGCAGTGGGAAGCCATTCCCCCTTGTCCTGTCACTCCATGTCTTTGTGAAAAATCCAGGAGGGAGATGTTTATGTGAGGGTTTTTAAAACAGCGTTGTGATATAGGAGTTAGAAACTGTTCCAGCATTATTAAGGTTGGAGTTGGCTTCTGGAGCTCATTTGCTCCTTTGTCCTGTTACATCCTTGATCTGCCTTACAACCTCTCTGAGCTGTGTCTTCTGCTGAGGGACCCTGGAGCCTCCTTAAAGAGCCTTTTCCCTGTTTTCTGCACTGGAGTTTCACCTGCCTGAATCTGTAGCTTTTAGGATCTCTTGGTTTTGCTCTGTTCATGTCCCCTGTTCAGAAGAAGTTCTGGCCAAGGCCACCACAGTGCTGGGATGCTGACGTGCTGCAGCACAAACTGATGAGCCCAGAGAGGTGGGAAAGGGTGGAAGGGCATCCAGGAGAACCTCCCTTGGTGAGCTGTGCAGGGTGGGTGCAGTCACCGTGGGGCCAAGGGGGAAATAATCTGGGAAAGGAGTAGAGCCTGTCAGAAGGAACGAAAGACGGAGGCTGTCTTCTCCAAATCCAGTTCTGGGAAGATTGCTTGGATATCTGGAATAGATTTAGGGTATGGTTGCACTTGTGGAGGGAGTTACTTTGAAGGAGGGGACAGCACACTTTGGAAAACTTTGAATTCTGAGGAGACACGTGGGATGACTTGCACTCTCTGAAGAGGAGCAGCCAGTCGGGGTTGGTTTTCCAAGGGATTTCAGTTATCCTTAGAGGAAACAGAGAGCCCTCAGAAATGCAGCTGAGCCTCTGTCAAAGCTGGGCGAGCTGTCCTGTTTTCAGACTGAAGCTACATGGTATGTGGGCGCGCTGCCTGTCTTCCAGCACTTCTTTAGTGCCTTGGACAGTGCTCCCTGGCACAGGGTGGCATTTTTGGGGCTGTCCTGTGCAGGGCCAGGAGTTGGACATTGCTGGTCTTTATGGGTCCCTTCCAGCTCGGGATATTCAGTGATTCTGTGGTTCTGTTTGGGAATACAGTCAGAAGTTACCGTGGGTGCCCAGGTTTCTCCATAAGGTGTCCTGCCACCTCACTGTGTCCTTGCTTCTGCCTTGACATGGGAGTGAGAATGAAAAAAATAATGAAAAGACAAGTGTCCATTTCCCTTAAGTACTACCACAAAAGGGTTCAATCAAGAGCAGGCTGATGGGGAAGGTTCACTTGTCAGAGTTGTCACCGTTGTCCAAGATTTGTGAGGGATCTTTCTACTGGTGGAGCTGCCTGGCCCTGAGGCTGCCAGGGGGGAATTGTGTCTCACCAAACCCCCCAAGTCCCTCACGCTCCTGAGCTCCTCTGTGGCTCCACTCTGTGTTCCATGGCACGTTGCCACTGTGTTATGCTGCTGATGTGCCAAATGCATTTCCTAGTGCTGTTCAGGAGCTGCTCTTGGACCTTTGCTCTGTGCTTCTGTCGAGTGCCAGCAACGCTGCACTCCCCTCCTGCCCACTGCTTTTCCACCCCGCCTGTCTCCGTGCATCGCTGCGGACCTGCGGATCTGAGCAAATGTGTTTTCCTTGTCTGGACTCGTTAGGTTTTTGGACATCAGGAATTAGCACATGGCCTTCCTGTCCGGGGGGATTTCTGCTCCACGAGCAGAGGTTGGACCCCTGGGCTTTCCTCTGGGGCGGGCAGAGCAGAGCAGCCTCCCCTACGTCACGCTGTCAGCTCTGATGACTTCAAAGTCAGGCACATCACTTGCAGGGGAACGTGTTTCTGGAGTGTTTCTGCAGAGGCAGCCCACGCTCTTTTCAGGCTTTAACTCGTATTGGAGTGCTAAGGAGTAAAGAAACAAAATGTGAGTAGCTCCTACTGTGTTGTCAGAGGGTTGGTTTTCAGATCACTAGGTCTAGATCACAGAATACCTGAATGGTTTTGGTGGGAAGGCAGCTTGGAGCTCATCCACTCCCATCCCTGCCATGGGCATGGACGCCTTCCGCTGTCCCAGGTTGCCCCAAGCCCCATCCACCCTGGCCATGGATACTTCCAGGGATGGAGCAGCCACAGCTTGGCTGGGTAACCCGTGCCACACCCTCACAGGGAGGAATTTCTTCCTGATGTCTAATCTAAATCTACCCTCCTTCACCTTAAACCATTGACCTTTGTTTCTTCTGTCCACCTAAGTGTCCTTCTGTTGGAGGTGGTGGTGGAGGGAGTCTCAGCCTTTAGTCCAGGTGGTCCCAAGCATCTCCTCATCCCTGGTGTGGGTTCTTGGTGCTGGGATGCAGAATGGATCCTGTGGGGCTGGCCCTGGCTGCAGTGGGTGTGACTGTGGTTGCAGGGGCTCCTGGCAGCACTAGGGACAGTGGATCCAGAGGGGGAGGGACCCTGCTTGTGACAGGGGGGGACAGAGGAGCACAGGCAGTGACCTTGTGCAATTCCACTATCAGCTTTATCCTGTTCAAAGATTCCCTACAAAACTTGCAAGGCAAGTCGCTTTTCCCCTTCCCCATCCCCTAAATAAAGGTGAGATGGCCCATAAATAACTTTCTCAGTTGCTCTAAGGGCCTCAAACTGTCAAGGTAATACCAAAAGCTGTTATAATGGTAGAGATAATGGCCTCCTTAATTTTTATCTTTGGAACTTGGTCCCTATCAGGTGCTTCCCAGGCAGCTAAAAATACCCAAGCTGCAGGACAGTGAGCAGGGTTATGGCAAACCCTCTTTCTGGGAGGCAGGAGCGGTGCCTTTGAAGTTTAACTCTGAGATAAGCAGGTTTTTCAGCAAGGTGGATGCCCTGGAAGAGAGCTGGGGCAGGGTAAATCTGGCTCAGGGTGGCTGCAGTGCTCCTGCTCTGCACCTGTGGCTTAGTCCTGCGCAGGAGACACTCAGTGATACCTCCAGAAAGGATGTTTTTGCATGCAAATATTAAATATCACCCATGAAAAGAAATGCATCTACATTTATATAACCCCATCGTTTAAACATGCAAGTCTTACCTTGCATAAATAAAATATGTATATAATTGCATAGCTAAGTGCCTTTCAATATTTATATATAGCCTGTGTTATTTCTGTGTGTATCCATAATTGGCTAAACTTAAAAATTGTAAAATATAAACAAATGTGGGAGAGCACAGCTTGTGTGAATGGCTGCTGCATTTAATTCACCCTCATTACAGGGATAGGCAGGAGATGCTTCTCCCTGTGTTCAGAGCCCTTCTGGTGTGTTTTGGTTTGCTGTCATGAAATCAAAGGCTGTTTCAGAGCAGCATAAAGAAATATTCCTCACCTGTCTCGTGTTTTCCATCTTCCTGTTCTCTGTCCCTATTTCCTCTGTCATTTTTCATATAAAGGCCTGTGTAAAGTCCTGATGGATGATCAAGAGCTCTCTCTGTTGCTGCACAGTTGTTCTATGATTTCTTTCGTCCCATCTAAGTTTTAATATTGACTGAGGCTTTTCTTCTGAACCATCTCCTTTTCTAACCTAAATATCCAATTATACTTTTTTTTTTTTTTTTAAATGTATTTGTGTTTTTCTGCAGCCGCTGCTGTGCTCAGCAGCATTTCATGGGATGGGGATGAACCCCATCAGAGGTGGCTCTCAGACCCCAAGAGGAACAATTTCACTGTTATATGTACCAGAACTTCATGTGTGTGGTCCCATGTGGCAGTTTCTGGAAGTTATTCCATCACCTAAAACAGCATTAAAAAAAATAATATTGGTGCTTGAGTAGTTAATGTATCATTAATTGTAAAAATACTTCCTTATTATTTCTGTTTTAATTAGTGGGGTTTTTTTGTTGATGTTGTTTGGGGGGTTTTGTGTGTGTGTATGTATGTATGTATGTATGTATTTGGGGCTTTGTATTTTGGGTTTTTTTCATTCTGGGTTTTTTTCTGTTGGGACTTTTTATTTTTTGCAGGGGGAGGTTTAGGGATTTTGGGGGTTTTTGTTTGGTTTAGTTTGATTTTGTTTTTGCTTGTTTGTGTTTTCTGTTTGTTTCATTTCAGGGTTTGTTGTTTGTTTTTTTTGGGGGGGAGAGATTTGGGGTTTTGTTAGATTTTGTTTGGTTTTCTTTGTTTTCATGGCTGTTTTGGTTTTTCTTTGGTTGGTTTTTTGTGTGTTTTTTCTTTGTTTTAGGTTTTATGGGTGCTTTTTTGTTTTGTTTTTCACTGTTTTATTTTTTGTGTTGTTTTTTTGTGGTTTTTCTTTGTTTATTTTTGTTTTGTTTCAGGGTTTGTGGGTGCTTTTTTGTTTTGTGTTGTTTTGTTGTTTTGGTTTGGTTTTTGTTTATTTTTTTATTTGTTTGGTTCGTTTTGTCATTTTGTTCTTTTATTTCCTGCAAGAGCCATTCTGGCTGCCGGAACAGAACCAATATTTGGGTGTTTTCAGCTGGAAATGCTTGTTTTGTTGTTGTGGGGTTTTGTTTGTTCTTGTTTTACTTCAGGGTTTTTGGGTATTTTTTGTTTTGTATTGGCATGCAGTTTTTTGTTTGTTTTTTATTTGTTTGGTCCGTTTTGTTGGTTCGTTTTGCCTTTTTTAAAATTTCCTGCAAGAGCCATTCCAGCTGATGGAACAGAACTAAGATTTGCGTCTTTCCTGCTGGAAATGCTGTTGTGGGTTTTTGTTTGTTTTTGTTTTGTTTCAGGGTTTGTGGGTGTTTTTTGTTTGTTTTGGGGTGTGTTTTTGTTTCTTTTTTTTGTTTGTTTGGCCTGTTTTGTTGGTTTGTTTTTTCCTTTTTTTTTTCCTGCAAGAGCCGTTCCAGCTGCCGTAGCAGAACCGAGATTTGTGTGTTTCCTGCTGGAAATACAGTTTTGTTGTTTGGGGGTTTTATTAGTTATTGTTTTGTTTCAGGGTTTGTGGGTGTTTTTTGATTTGTTTTGGGGTGTGTTTTGTTTAGTTTTGGTGGGTTTTTTGGGTTGGTTTTTTTTTGGTCTGTTTTTTCCTTTTTTCTTTTTCCTGCAAGAGCCGTTCCAGCTGCCGTAACAGAACCAAGATTTGTGTGTTTCCTGCTGGAAACGCTGTTTTGTTGTTGTGGTTTTTTGTTTGTTTTTGTTTTGTTTCAGGGTTTGTGTGTATTTTTTGTTTTGTATTGGGATGTGGTTTTTGTTTGTTTTTTTAGTTTGTTTGGCCTGTTTTGTTGGTTTGTTTTTTCCTTTTTTTTTTCCTGCAAGAGCTGTTCCGTCTTCCAGAACAGAACTGAGATTTGTGTGTTTCCTGCTGGAAACGCAGTTTTTTTGTTTTGGGGTTTTATTAGTTTTTGTTTTGTTTCAGGGTTTGTGGGTGTTTTTTTGTTTTGTATTGGGATGTGGTTTTTGTTTGTTTTTTTTATTAGTTTGGTCCATTTTGTTGGTTCATTTTGCCTTTTTTTATTTCCTGCAACAGCCATTCCAGCTGATGGAGCAGAACCAAGATTTGGATGTTTTCTGCTGGAAACACAGTTTTGTTGTTGTGGTTTTTTGTTTATTTTTGTTTTGTTTCAGGGTTTGTAGGGGCTTTTTTTTTTGTTTGTTTGGCCTGTTTTGTTGGTTTGTTTTTCCTTTTTTTTCCCTGCAAGAGCCTTTCCGGCTGCCGTAGCAGAACCGAGATTTGTGTGTTTCCTGCTGGAAACGCAGTTTTGGTGTGTTTTGTCACCAAAGCAGGTGAGCACAGAGCAGCACCTGGGCCTGGCAGTGTCCCCTTTGTCCCCTTTGCAGATGCCCAAGGGCACGGACCAGAACTGGGCACAGAAGCTCTACGACCGCCACAGCGCCAGCCAGCACTTCCAGAAACCGCGCATGTCCAACACCTCCTTCATCGTGCTGCACTTCGCCGACAAGGTACCCGGCAGGGAGCACCAGCAGGGACAGGAAAGCCTCCTGCAGCACCCTAAATCCGTGCAGAGCCCCCTGAGCTGCCCCTTGGTGCCTGCACGGTGGTGGTCGTGGCTCAGGTGTTCAAATCTGGATCAGCCCCGAGGGCTTCAGCCTGTTGGTTGTGGCTCTGGGCTGTGGGTTGTGGATTCTGGAGGAGAGAAAAATCCTCTTTCCCAAAGCTGCGGGGAAAGGGGTTTCTGTAAGGGCAGCTGGGCAGAAAATGTGCTTGTGTTAGAAGAGCAGGAGCTGTGAGTGCCAGCAAGGCACAGTGCAGGGAGGAGGTGAGAGGTGATCCCAGGCAGATCCCACCTTTGTGAGCATCCCACTATGGCACTAAACTAAACCAAATCCCAGTGCCTGGTGTGCTGGGGTCTTGTCCATAGACTCCAGCTTCACTGAAGCCCTGATGTGACAAGTGTTACAGCAAACAGGAATCTCAAAAGCTTGAAGTTACCCTAACCACACATTTGTTAGGAAAAAATTAAAAAGATCAACCCCGGGATGTGTCTGAGGAGCTGGACAATATCCAGGTGCTGTGATGCCCTACAGGTGCTTTCCATAACCAGGTTTGTCCTTGATTCCAGAGGCACTCACCATGGCAAATGTTGATACTCACCTTTCCTCAGGCACGTGGTTTTGTGTATGGATCCTTCATGAACAATATTTCTTAGCAAGTTTTTCTCATTTTTTAATATGAAAAAAAGAAATTTTCTTTTGTTGTCTCTAATGTATTTTTAAATTGTTTTTTTTTAAATTCCTTTGCATCCCACTCCTCTGCAGTTTCAAAACCCAAGAGACCTACAAGAGACTTAGGCAGGGCATATTTTGAGGTTTATTGATTAACTTAGAAGCAGTTGAAGAGTGAACAAAAGAGCATGTAGAGTTACTGATGATCCTTGCATTTTTTATCCCTGACTTCCATACACAGCGATTTAATGGCTAGGAAACAATCTGTGTTTCCTAGTAAGGATTTTGCTTTCAGCCAGATTCACTTTGATAAAAAGTGACCTTTAAATTCCAATTGTTCCTTTCCCCTCTCAGGGTTTTGGGGTGAGCTCCTGACAGCAGGGGAGTGGTGGGAGCACCCTGTGTGTTGGACTTGTCCCTTTGAGCTTCTTCCCTTTGTGTCCTGGCAGGTGGAGTACCAGAGCGAGGGGTTTCTGGAGAAGAACAGGGACACCGTGTACGAGGAGCAGATCAACATCCTGAAAGCCAGCCAGGTAAAAGGAGCAGCAGGTCAGGGCAGCTGCCCAGGCTGGAGCTGAGCTGAGCTGAGCGTCCCTGGTCGCACCCATGCCTGGCCCAGGGTGTGACCCTGCTGCACTGACAGCCACCAAAGAGCCAAACCAGTGGGGTGTGGAGAAGGGAAAAGGGATGAGGAGAGGAGGATGCTCAGGGTTACACCCACTGCATGCATGTGGGTGGTTGTCTGCCTTCCTTCACCCTGCTGTTGGTGTCCTGTCAAGATGCATCGCAGAAGTAGTTCCCAAACCTGCTGATCCTCTTCTTTTTTTCGGTCACCAAGGGACAAAATTAGGAACTGGTAGTTTTTGGGCACTGTAAATCCCACTTAGCTCTTGCTTGGAGATCCTCACCCATCACCCAATCGCCCATCAGCCACAGAATCACTGGATGATTTGGGTTGGAAGAGAATTCAGGGATCATCTTGTTCCAGCCCCCTGCCATGGGACACCTTCCACTAGACCAGGATGGTCAAAAGCACGGGGATCTGGGGTTAAAAGCCACTGTCACCAGCATGGTTTGTACATTGTGGGTAGCCTTGCTGGTCCTATCCCCCTTCTGTGTGAAAGTAGCTGTTCCTGTTATCTGTAATCTGTCATACTTTTCCCCGTGACTTCTAATTACTTCAGTAATTACTGTGCAAAAACTGGAGTTAATGTGTAATGCTGGAACTGTAACATGAACTCTGAGACACTCCAGCTGCTGTGGAGCTGTTTTACACCACTGCCAATGTGTAACTTTAACAAATTAGCAGACACTAATGATCACTCTTGGTGTCACTTGTCTTTTACAAGGTTTTGTGCCGTGTACCTTCCCTCTCCCGAGTGTTGTACAAACAACTTGTCAACATCTCATTGCACCAGGTGCCAGCAGGGATGTATTGACTGGCTTTGAATGCCAGGTCTCCTGGTAAAGGCTTTTTGGGCTCTTGCTGTTTAAAATTCCCTGTGTGCTGTGGATTTGGTGGGATGATGGAAGCAGAAGAGCTGTGGGGTTCTGAAGGCTTTGGAGTGGGCCATGCCTGCAGTAAATGAGCATTTGACAGTGGGCTCCAAGCTGGAGATTTTACAGTTTTCTATATAAATTGAGTAGATTTTGCACTGGCTTCCTGTACCATACTCCTGCTGTCTATGAGCATTTGGGTAGGTTGGGTTAAAAGTGTTGATATCACAGGCAGTAAAGGAATTTCAGATCCTTGTTGTTTTAAGACCAGACCAAAAGTTCTTCCCTGCAGCTTTGAGTCTTGCATTGTCAATTAATGAGCTGAAACCTTAAACAACCCCATCTCTCCTAGGGGGAACCTTTATTAAGCAGTTAGTGTGAAAATGCAAAGCCCAACTCACGATCCGGTGGCCAAAATCCAGGCTGTGTGACTCTGGTGCACCTTTGTTCCTCTAAACCTGGTGTGTGGTTTAAGGAAGGAGTTCATCTGCTTTCCCCCAAACCATTTCAAAGCCTTCCACAGCATAGGCCAGCATGTTAAATTGGTTTTGGTTTGGGTTTTTTTTGTGTTTTTTGGGTTTTTTTTTGTTTGTTTTTTTTGTTTTTTTGTTTTTTTTTTTTTACATTACAAGTTTTGAAGGCCTGCATGTTGCAAGCAAAAGTGGGTCATATTCAGACTTCTCTTTGTGACACCCTTGGGTGTGCTGCTGGCTGTGACCTTCTGAATGACACCCTGAATAAGGAGTGGGATGAAGGGAGGTGGAGGAAACATTATTTTTAGGAGGAGTTTGTTCCTGTCAAAGTTAGAAGAGATGAGAATGGGAAATTATTTAAGTGTTGTCAGTGGCTTGGCCTGTTTCACAGCAAGGAATTCATGTGAAAATGGCAAGATGAGCAATTTTCTCATCCATGGGAGTAGTTGTGAAATTAATGACCATGGAGCTGGGCTTTAATAATGCCCAAATCAAGAGCTCTGCATGTTCAGGAAGCTTCCCAGGGAAAAACTGGGCATGATTAGAGCTCATTAGAAATGCCAGGTAACCTCCAGGAATAGTTGATGCTGTATGATGAATTATTTAGCCAGTGCTGAACTTGCTGTTGGAGTCAGTGCTGCAGAACTGGCAGTGTGTGATAAGGATTTCTGTTGGACTGTTTGGTGTAGAGGAGAGAGTGTACCTCACTGGAGTGGTGTGGTGTGGAGTGGTGGAGACCCTGGAAACCATTCCCTAAAAACACAGATGTAAGGTAAAGGCTCGCTTGCCATATCTAGGGACCACAATATAATATCAGAGCAGGCTGGACTTTGTTTAAGAGCTGTGTTGGAGGGGATAATAAATTCCATCCAGTGTCATCCCTGCCCCTTCTATCCCAGTTTGCTCCAAGCCCTGTCCATTGTGGATGCTTCCAGGGATGGGGCAGCCACATGTGCCCTGACCCAGACCAAAACACTCTGACATTCACTTGGGTCTGGGAACATTTGGGAGATAGGCTGTTGAATTTCTGTCTTTAACCCCCATTAACTCCCATTCCCCTAACAACATGGGAGCACTGGCTTGTATCAGCCTGATCCCATGTTGTTCTGGAAGAAGAGCAGCTAGACATTGTCACATTCCTCTCCCAAATCCTTCAACACCTGGTGATCTGCTCTTGCTGCCCCTAACCCCTGTTTGCCAGCAGATTGTTACCCTGGTATTTTTGCTTCTTGCCTGCCATTTGCCCTCCAGGGTTATAAACAATTAGAAACAATTTTGTTTTGCTGTGAAAGGCAGCCTGGTCTCTCTGAACCAGCAAAAGCAGAAGTGACAGTGCTGACTCTGCTACCCAAAAGTGTAAATTTAACTAAAGCTTAGATTTGTGCTGTGAGGACTTTGTCCTGTCCTCAGGATCAAGCTGGCACACAGCATTCCCTGCTTTCTTCTTTGCATTCCCACTAAAGCAGCACAGAGGGCAAGGGGAACGCTGTATTTAACACAGCAATGACCTGGGCACCTCTCTGTCAGCAAGCCATCGCTGATGAAGCACTCCCACCAAGGCAGAACTGCCTTCTGCTAATTAGAATGCAATTACCGCCATCAACAAGATGGTGAGAGAGACTTTACAGAGCATTTAATTAGTTCTGTAAGCGCTGGTCAGCTAAAACAGTTGAGAGCTGATGTCCTTTGAATTAAGGGAAATTATTTGAATGCTGATGGAAGGCATAAGGGCATGCTGTGAAGGTATTATTTTCCAGGTCTCTGTAATTACAAATAATGCACCAGTGGCTTTGACCCTGCCAGCTGGGGAGGAGGGATCTGTCCCTCTTGCTTATGCCCCAGAACCTGTGGAATGGCTCCTGCTAGAGATGGTCCCAGTTCCACCAGGTTTGAATCATGCAAGCTGAGAGCTTGGCTCTGAGATCCTTCTCCAGGAACAAGCACTGCTGTTATTAATACCAGGTGGATGGAGAGAGCAGTGGCGCTCCCAGCTGTTTTGAGAAGATATTTTGAAACCCCAAATTACATCCAGAGGCATTGCCAGGTATGAGGCAGTAATGCAGAGCCTGTGTTGGATATCTTCATTAGTACAGGTGTCATCCATACCTCCCATGCTTGCAGGAGTCAGAGCATCCCAGATGGTGTTGTATCACCCATAACAATTGTCAGGATGTCATTTTTTTAGGGATAGAAGGAGGTGAAGGAGAGGAGAGCCTTTATTCTGGTAGGAGTTGAGTGAGCTGCAGAGACAGCAGTGAAAGCTGAGTGTGAAGCAGATCCTTAGCTGGCGCTGTCATGGAGCCTGCAATAAATTTGCTCATGTAATGCAAATAATTTCCTTCCCACTGTGTTGTTGAGGCTGCTGTCCTAACAAGCTGTGAGAACATCCCACAGGACAGGGCTGGAAATGTTCCTGTCTCAGCCCAGGGATGTGGCAGAGAGCCTGGCAGCCCTTCACAGCACAGGGCTGCTGTTTATGTCTAAAAAGTGGTAAACCACAGCACTCTTCCTGGGATCCTAATAGAAATACAACCAAGCTGGGCTTCTGGAGGAGCCCAAGGTGGGGGCAAGAGTGCTAGGCAGCTGCCCCTGCCTTGTGCTGGTGGTTTTTGGGTGGATGTGTTTGCCATGGTGTGCCATGGATGTGGGGAATGCAGTTCTGTCCCTCAGGTGCTCCAGCATTCCTGCTGCTGGGAGGCACCGTGGGTGCTTTGGCAGTGTCACCTGGCAGGAGCCCAGCTCAGCTGGTGACACATGAAGTCCCACCTGCTGTCAGGGAGGGTTTTTTTACATTTAAGGATTTCCCCTTTGAATGTAAGGGCAGCTGTGGCAGTAGCCAGTGTGGGTGTGTAGATGGATCCAAGATGTGAAAATTCAACAGCCTTGCTAACCAGACCAGATTTATGGTGGCTTACTTAATATTCAAGTTCCCCAGTCTAGCATAAATCTGAATATCCTGCCTCCTAATAATAATAATAATAAAGGCATTAACTGCCTTTGCCAGCTCACCTGTTGTTTGTGAAGCAGAAATTTTGCTGCTGGCTTACCAGAAATCCCAGGCTTGGGGATCTGTTGAGCTAGATGTGGTGCTTGCAGGGTTGTGGGATGGTGGTGCCGCCCTGAAAGGTGGGTCAGTAGGGAGGAAGTGTTTGTGTCCCTTAACTTTTTGAAAAGCAAGGGTGCCTCTGGGGCTGTGGTGGGGCCTGGCTGCTGCCTGTGCTCACAGGAGATCCTGTTCCTGGGGTGTGTGCTGTGTAGGGAGCATCCTTGCTGGGGCAGGGCTGCATAAACACCCTGAAACAAAGCCTTGGGAGCAGGAGTCACCTCCTGTCCGGGAGGTTTTGTGCCTTGGCAAGACCTCAGCAATCCAGCCTCCTTTCTTTTTAGGTTAGTTTGATTTAATGTGCGTGTTTCAAGGTTTCATGACCTGCAGCACAGAATGGTCAGCTGTCCTGCTGACGTGGTTCATGTAGACATCTCTTCTTGCTTTCACTTTCTTGCCCTTTTTCCCCTTTCAGGCTTAGGATGGGTGAGAAATGACCTGAGCAATGGGAGCTGGGTGGGCTCATTCCCCAGCGAGCAGGCCCAGGGGTGCTCAAGTGTTGCCTTTTGTTTCAGTATCAGATGGTAGCAGACTTATTCCAGGAGGACAAGGACGCCGTGCCCGCCACTCCTGGGGCAAAGAGAACACCCCGGATCAACGTGCGCTCTGCCAAGCCAGCCTTCAAAGCTGCCAACAAGGAGCACAGGAAAACAGTGGGACACCAGGTAATGGGAGGTCTCAGGGAGTCACTGACGACACAGCAATCCGGTTAACACCTTGTTGCTTCAGTTTGAAGCAGAGGTAAATAAAAAGCTGCTGAGGGTGGAAAGAGGCTTTCCCATGATCTCTGTGTTCAGCTGTTGTGTTTTGAATGACTTCTAGTGGTGCCTCTGGAACAGCAGGATTGAGAAGTCTTGGCTGAAAGCAGCTGAGACATGGTCTGGGGAGGGTGGAGACTCTGGGATTCACTGGATGGTGTCCCAATATACTGTGGAGCCTTTAAACTGAAACAGCTTCAGGAAAGGAGCATTTCCCCACTGTGGGCAGTCAAAAAGTTCAACAGGGGCACAGAGAGGTTGTGCTGCCTCCATCCTTGGAGATGTTTCAAAGACCCAGCTGGGCAGACTCCTGAGCTTTGTTGCTCATGACTCTTTGAGCTGGAAGCCTTCAACCCCGCAGTGTCTTCTCTGAATTCCCCGTATCTGGGCTGGGTCCATGGGGAGGCTCACTCCGTGTCACACCCACGGGTGGCTTGTGGCACTGCTGGCTGGGGCTGCAGGGTCACAGCTCCTCCCTCCCTCCTCCACATGAGTGGTTTTGTCTTTCAGTTCCGCAACTCCCTGCAGCTGCTGATGGAGACCCTGAACGCCACCAGCCCGCACTACGTGCGCTGCATCAAGCCCAACGATGAGAAGATCCCCTTCAAGTAAGTGGCCCTGCAGACCACAGAATCACAGAATCACAGAATCACAGAATCACAGAATCACAGAGTCAGGAGGTTGGAAGATACCTCTAAGATCATTGAGTCCAACCTCTGCCGTAACACCTCTACTAGACGATAGCACCAAGTGCCATGTCCAGTCTTTTTTTAAACACATCCAGAGATGGTGATTCTACCACCTCTCTGGGAAGAGCATTCCAGCACTTTAGAATTCTTTTAGTGAAAAATTTTTTACTAATATCCAACCTCTACCCTCCCTGATGTAGCTAGAGTCTGTGTCCTCTGATTCTGTCAGTGCTGCCCAGTGGAAGAGACCAACCCCACCTGTCTGCAACCTCCCTGCAGGAAGCTGCAGAGAGCAATAAGGTCACCTCTAAGCCTCCTCTTCTCCAGGCTAAACAGCCCCAGCTCCTTCAAATGCTCCTCACAGGGTTTGTGTTCCAAGCCCCTCTCCAGCCTCGTTGCCTCCTCTGGACGTGCTCAAGCATTTCAACGTCCTTCCCAAACTGAGGGGCCAGAACTGGACACAGCACTCAAGGTGTGGCCTCACCAGTGCCAAGTACAGGGGCAGAATGAGCTCCCTTCTCCGCTGGCCACACCATTCCTGATGCAGGCCAGGAGTCATTGGCCTTCTTGGCCACCAGGGCACATTGCTGGCTCATATTCAACCAGCTGTCACCAGCACCCCCAGGGCCCTTTCTGTCTGAGCACTGTCCAGACACAGTGTCCTCAGCTTGTAATGTTGTAGGGGGGTTTTGTGGCCAAAATGTAGAACTCGGCCCTTGGACTTATTAAACTTCATGCTGTTGGACTCTGCCCATCCATCCAACTGATCTAAGTCTCTCTGCAGAGCCCTCTTTCCTTCCAATAGATCAACACAAGCTCCCAGCTTAGTGTTGCCTGCAAATTTATTTAGGACTCAATGAGCAGATATGCTCAGCTTTATGGCAGCGGGGCATGCTTTGGGCTCTTCCTCCTGCTGAAGAGCTTGCCTTTTCCATTTAATGTTGTTCCTGGAAGCTGGAAGGTCTGTGTGGGTTGCTGGGGTCACCTTTTTGGGTTTCAGCATGGGAGGTTTGTGCCTCTGAAATGAAGCCAAATTCAGGTTCTAATAATTCATAGATATGCTCTGCTAATAGTGAGCATCCTTGCTTTGCAGTGATAGGGTCTTCATGCAGTTTTTATCTCAGACTTGCTTTGATTTAAATAATTATAGTTCCAAACAGTGGCAAGAGAAGGAAATGAAAAAGAAGAGATAAGTAGTGGGCTTGTAAAATGAACAGAAATATCTTGGTGCTTCCAAAATAAATGTAGAAAAAATAAGGGTGTGGTTTGTATCAGCTTCAGGCAGGCGAGCAGCTGAAGCAAAAGGCCAGTCCTGGTCTTTGTCCGTAGCTCAGAGACATATCACAGGCTGCAAACTCTGTGAGCAGGTAGTTTTTAGCCCTGTTTGACCTCTTGGTCGTGGATTTGTGCCCAGTTTTCTTCTCTGTAACTCCAGAAAAGCTTGGCCATTAGTATGCAGGGACCTTATAGATGTGATGTCCTCGAAAGGCATCAAGTGCAGGTGGTGACCTTTAAGGAAGAAGGTTGTAAATGTAATCCAGTAGCAGGGAGGCATTTCCCTCCATCTGATCTGATGCAGGCTGAGTGCTCCCAGTGAGCACAGTGCAATTTAGGAATGCAGAGACAGCTCCACCAGTGTCCTGGAAGGAAGGCAGAGCTTCTCTAAACAGACTCACCCTTGGTCATGATGTGCTGGGAGAGATGTATCCACCAGGAAGCTTCCTGGCTTGTCCTCTTCTGCCCCTTCAAACAGCAAAGTGAGGGGTATAAATCACTGCAAGACATTCAGAAACTGGTTCCTATTTACCTGATTCCTTAGAGGAGTAGTTAGCAGCCCTGGAGAAAGCTCTCTGTGCTGAGATCTGTGTTCCTGTGCTCTGCTGATCTGTTCCACACACCATCCTGCAGGAACTGGATGTGCTTGGGCCTTGGTCTCCTCTTGCCTTTTGCAGAGGGTGTTCATTAAGTGAAATTCAGGATTACACTGTGTGATTGACAATTTTCTTTAGATGAAGCACAAAATTATTCTCTGACTTGCTGTAGTGAGAGTGTGGTAAGATGCTCTGGGTGATGAAGTGGTTTCATCTTTCCAGTGGGTCTTTCCAGGACTCCATGTCCCTGCTTAGCTCTCCTTTCAGCTCATCCCTCTTCACTTCTCTGCCTTTGAACTTTCAATTTTTCATGTGATGCTCAGGATACAGTTAATATAATTCCATGGATGTGCAAGCTCCTGGTTTTCAGGGGGCAGTGATTGAATGAACTCAGTGGTATCCCTAAAATATTATGGGTAGCAAGTACCAGGAGGATAATTCTGCCAGTGCCTGCTTCTACTCCAAGTGATGGCTCTGCCCAGTGTGATGCTACAATTGGTGAATGTCCAAGCTCAGGATTTTGGGAACAAATGACAGACCAAAATAGACACAAGGATGGTTCTGGAGGAGGTTGCTTTAGGTTGTGGTGATGGGGTTGCATCCTCTTCCACAGGGGGTTCAGGTGTCTCCTGTGGCTGGTTCTGCAAGAGCCTCTCCCCCCTCACCCCTCATGGATTGCTTGATTGGCATTGTCACCTGGGGATCGTGGTCAAGGTTGGTCTTGCTGCCACCAGCTTGAGGAATTTGTGTCCTTAGCCTGGCTCAAATAAAGTCACAGAATCCCGGGAGCACTGAGCTGGAAAAGAGCTCAGGATCATGGAGTCCCAGCCGTGTCTGATCCCCGCTGTGCCACCAGCTTGGAGCACTGAGTGCCACATCCAGTCCTTCCTTGGACATCTCCAGGGATGGGCACTCCAACACCCCTCTGGGCAGCCCCTGCCAAGGCCTGACCTCCCTTTCCATGGGGAAATTCCTGCTGCTGTCCAAGCTCCCGGCCTGAGGCCATTCCCTCTGCTCCTGTCCCTGTTCCCCCCGGCTGTCCCCTCCTGTCAGGAGCTGTGCAGAGCCACAAGGGCCCCCCTGAGCCTCCTTTGCTCCAGGCTCAGCCCCTTCCCAGCTCCCTCAGCCCTTCCTGGGGCTCCAGCTTGTTCCCATCTCCCTCAGCTGCTCCTTGTAGTACTTTTTTATGTGTTAAAGCGGGATATAGAGACACATGCTGGAAAATGTGCAGTGCTAAGAAGCATTTGTGAAGTGAAAGATCATCAGCATTGCTCCACGTTAGCACCCAAGTGTCTGTAGCATGCAAAACACCTGGGTGTTATGTTTGTTGTTCAGTGAGAAAATAAGTTTTCTCTAAAACATAACATTTTTCGGCTCACAAGAGCATTATGTTTTCGCTAAAATGAAAACCTTACCCTGGAGAACAGGGAGGAGGAAATGGCAGCTCTTCAGTACTTAGAGGGGCTACCATGAGGAGAAAGCCATGCTCTCAGCAGTGGTGTGTGGTGGGAGGAAGGAGCCAATGGCCCCAAATTTACACGGGAGGTTCAGACTGGAGATGAGTAAACCTGTTTTTTTTCTCCCTGAGGACAGTCTGTCAATGGAGCAGTCTGCCCTGAGAGGTTATTCAGCCTCCATCTCTGGAGGTTTCTATAAATTTTGACTGGCTAAACCCCTGGGCCATGGATCTGCCCCCACAGTTTTTGAGCATGGGGGGCTGGACTGGAGGGTTCCTCAGGTCTCTCACACCCTGCATTCCTACTCACAACATGCTGAGAAGATAAAATCTGTAATAGGGATGGAGGGTGTCAGGCTCCCATCCTGGGACACCTTGGCTCCACGCAGGGATGTCTGCTGCATCTGACTGCAGGCTGGGACTGAGGTTAATTCCTGCTGGAGAAGACTTCCAAAGAGAGCTGTGCAAGGGGAATGCCTGACTTCAGGTTGTTCCTCTGTCTTTTCCTTTTAGATTCACTTTTAGGCAAGGTTTGGGATCTTTGATTTGGGTTTCCAGGCTGAAAGCAACCTGCCAGGTGTTTCTACCTGCCATAGCAAGGAAAAGGACTTTGTAATAAGCTGTATTGTCCCACTTTTAAGATCTTAATTTCAGCATTAGCCCATAACTGGAGCTGTTGCTGACAGATGACTGCAGCCTCTCTGGTGGCTGCATTTCAGCCCCACTGAGCAGGGCTTTGCTGCTTTGCAGAGTTTCCCTTGGATACCAGAGAGATTGCCCTGGGATCTTCCAGGACTGACGCTTACCTGTCGATCTGCCACTCCTGTTTATTATTTATTGTTATGGAAATTGCACTCTTGTGGGTTCTTCCTTGAAGCGAGTGACAGCCCAGACTGATTTTTCACCCTGCACAGTGTTGGTGGTGTTGCAGTGAATAACTTGCTTGTAGACTTGACAGGTCCAGGGAATTAAAAAAAGCACAGAGAGAGAAGAAGGAGACTATTTTTCATGCTGCTTTTGTAGAGCAGAGAGCAGGAAGAATTATTCATGTAATCTTGACTTGCAGGTGTAAATATTTTGAGCTTTCAGAAAGGGAAAAAACTGGCATTATACAAGAAGCTTTGTTCTGGAAACCTCACACAGCTGTGGACATTGCATCATGTGAGACTGAGTTTGATGGAGGGACCTTTTCCAGTGCCTTCCAGAGCTGGAGAGCTGTGGCCTCCTTGTGCATTCAGCATCAGGGGGGAAGGAGGGAGCGGCCATGGGGGATGCTGGTACCTGGACTCACTCTCTGCAAGCATGGTCTGAGCTTGGAGTGAGTTTTTGCCAGGAATCAGAGGAAGCACTGCCTGAGTATTCAGCTGGAAGTTTCCTTGAGATCTTTTTGCCACAAATTCCTGATGGCACGTGGTGGCAGTGGTAAGGGATGATGCAAGCTTTAAAGTGGTCATGTTCTTGGAAAACTTAGTCTAGAAAATCATGGGACCTATTAATTACCTGCTTTGGATATGGAATTGAATATATCAGACTTATTTTGCTGTTGAATTTGATTTCCATAAATATGTTGTTGCCCCAATAGCTGGTTCACCAGGCAGCTCGTGGTGGGGTAGCCTGTTCCCTTCTTTATTGTGATTGTATTGCTTTACAAAGCCAGGTAGATTCTGGCTGCAGACACTAATTAATTGCAGCAGGTGGTCAGTCTATCCCAGGAATACCCCTGGCACTCATAGCAGGGTGGGAGCAAGGTTTCAAGCAACTTGGAAATCAGACCTTTGTGACGTGCAGAGAAAAGGTGTGCAGCCTGTTCATCCCAAAGCCAGGCCTGGGTTGTACTGAGGTTTCAGAGGCAGTGGCTGTGGGCTCCCTTTCACTGTGTGTTAATGTCTGCCCTAAATCTGATTGCAGGTTTGATCCGAAGAGAGCAGTGCAGCAGCTGAGAGCCTGCGGAGTGCTGGAGACCATCCGGATCAGTGCAGCTGGCTTCCCATCCAGGTGCTGGGCTGGGAATTCCCTGGGCTTGTGCTGCTCCTGCCCCTTCCCCAGCAGGTTCATTGTGCCCAGGGCCAGGCTGGATGGGGCTTGGAGCACCCCGGGACAGGGGAAGGTGTCTCTGCCCATGGCAGGGGTGGTACTGGGGGAGCTTTGAACACCAAACCCTTCTGGGATTATCTGACATGAGGGAGGTAGAAGAAAATATTTGTGTTGGCAGGACAATGTTTATTTAGGTTAGTTTGTACCCAGGACAGATTTTCTGCTTTTTATATATTTTTTTTGTTTCATTTTGCCAAACTCCCTTTATGTCCTGGGCTCCTCAAGTGTAAGAGATTCATTGTCAAGCAAAGAGCTGCAAAGTGGGCTTGACAGAGAGGGTGTTGTGCTGTGTCCAGTGCTCCAGCTGCTGCTTTCAGTCTGGTCCTGAGAGGTAATTTGCTCTCATGAAACCTCTGAAAAAGCTGGTGCCTGGCAGACAAAGGAATCCAGTTTGGATGCTGTACCTAGGTGAAAACCAAGTAATGAAACAACAACTCTGGAAGCAAGCACTGCCCTAAAGCACTTCTTCACTGTTTGCCTGAAGCTTCTTCCACTGTTCAATTTGATTTTCTTTGTGTGTGATTTTTTTTCCCCCTGGCTTCAGACATCTGCTGCAATCCTCATTTCAGCCAAAAAAAAAAATTCTGATTCTACTTTCAGAGAAAGAAAATAAGGGTTGTAAATTATTGTTGTAGACATTCACAGAGCACATCCAGAGCATCCTAGGCTTCAAACTCTTGTATCATAAAAAGGAGGGTTATGGGTGGTGTGCTCCTGCTGATTGAGATATAAAATTCAAAAGAGGTTTTTAAGGCCCAATAAATCAGAAAAAATAGACTATACATAAGTCCTGAAGATGACAAGGGCAAATAATTCTAAAAATGCATCAATTGCATTTTAGTGCCAAGCAGCTTTGTGTTAATGTCAGCAAAGCCATCAGCCCTTTTATATGGAACAAAGAAGTCATAAATATGCTCAGTGAAGTGTTGGCTAAGCGTGATGTGGAGCACCATGAGCAACTCCCTGTCCTGCATTTTGGGGAGGAGTGTGCTGCTCTCAGAACCTCCTGAGAAGCTGCAGGGGGTTCTGGCAGCCGAGGGCAGCAGCTGCAGCTTGGGGTGGCTCTGTCACCTCTGCTGGCCAGGGACCTCTGTGGGCAGGTCACAGCTGCTCTTGGGGTCCTCCCTGACCAGCTGGGTCCAGCTCCTTAAGGAGGAAGAAAGGAAAACAGAAGGAGAATAAAACTCTCACGGAACCCAATTTCTCTGTGTCCCCTGCCAGTGCGGCATGGTGCAGATCTGGGACCTCGTGCTGGGA